TCTAGTTCTTCTGCTCTCAGGCTGATGAACTCTGTGGTTTATGTGGCCTGTTCTGTCTCTTGGGTTAATACTTCCTTGTGTTTTTAGTGTTCTTCATTCTCCTTTACTCCAATGCTACAGCTCTTATGCTGTTTAGTTTAGCAGTCTCTTAAAAAGCATTTTAAAAGCAGCAGCGTAGCAGGAAAATGGTCTGATAGAAATAGCTTTGGCCCCTGAAGACTCTTGAGTTTAAGTGTGGCTATGCCATCTGTTTACTGTTAAATCTTAAGAGAAAAGCCTAACTTCTCAGTGCTTGAGTTTCCTGTCTCATTGTCCTTTAGAAGGACACTGTACAAATTAAGTAATGATAGGAGCTTTTCAAGGAAAGACCATATCATACTTCTTGGCAATATTTCATTGAATGCTAAATGTTATTCCTAAATCGTTCGATCTTTTTAGGCAAATGTACTTTAATTAATCATATCTTTGTATATGAATGATAGTACCATCAAACCCAAAAAACCCAAACCACTGCCAGCTAGTCGATTCCGACTCATAGCGACCCCATAGGGGTAAAGGCTGTAAACCTTTACGGAAGCAGACTGCCACATCTTTCTCCCATGGAGCAGGTAATGGTTTCAAACCGCCAACCTTTTGGTTAGCAGTCGATCGCTTTAACCACTGTGCCACCTTTATTTATTTTGGCTATTATGGTGGCATGTACATTTGGCTATTATGTGCCATACACACAGTGATTGTCTCATCACAAAGCTGTAAATCTTTGAGTAACTATATTACTCACCTTTGAAACAGAGAAGACATCATCCTTCATAATAGGTAACTAAACAATGAATTCACATCTGGAATCATCATCATAATAGTTAATATTTGTAAAACAGTTTATATTCTCCAAAGCCCACTCATAAATACCATCTCATTTTGTATGATAATATTTGAGGTAGGTTGGGCATGTGTTATCATTCCTATTTTATTGAAGACATAATTAAAGTTCAGGTGATTGCCCAAGATCATATAGCTAGCAAAATGGTAGAAATGAGGCATAAACCCAGGTTGTTTATTCCAAAACCTGTTCACTTTTACTGTATTGTACTGCCTTCTATATTGATTTAATTATTTCATCATAACAAAGGTGGAGAGTTTACAGGTAGTTTGTAATAACATGGAAATTGTCTTATTAGAGATGATTTGGAGACAGCAGAAATCCACTCAAACAATGGAAGTATTATAAGCACACACAAAAACTCACAGAATCCTATTATCAGGAAGTCCGACAATTCTCATAGTACTTAAAAGTTCCTACACAACTAATATCTGTTTGTCTGCCTGTATTGTCTCTTCCTTTTTCTGTCCATATGCTTTATCCTTCTCTTAATCTCTTCACATTGGCTTTTTTGCTTTTCTCGTAGCTTCTTTGCTTCCCCATGTTGAGCCATCTCAACATTACCTTTCAGTTCTAATATCTTTTGTACCTGAATGCTTTGTTTTTCAGACCTCAGGTGATCCCTAGTTCAGTCAGCAGGTACTGAACTAGGTTCTAGAGGCTGCTTCTTCCAGGCTATGTGGGCAAGGCAGTTGAGCAGTAGATAAGACTATATGTCCTGAAACCAAACTGCCTGGGTTCTAATTCTGACTCTCCCTTTAATAGCTGTGCCCTTGGCCAAATTAGTTAGCTTTTCTGTGGAAAAAGTAATAGCATGTATCTCATAGGATTGTTGTAACGATTAAATGAGCATGTAACGTGCCTTAAACAGTGCCTGGTACATAATAAACACTCAGTGTATATTGCCTATTATTAGTAAGAAAGAGATCTGGGCAGGCCAACAGTGATTGGCAGGTCTAGGACAGAGATGAATTTTTTAATTACAAAAAGTCAAAAGATTAGAACAACTAGCCATTAGAGAAATGCAAATTAAAACCACA